AAAATCCAGTCCTTTTTTAATAGAGTGGAAGAAAACTTGAATATGGTAAAATGCAGTGTCTTTCTCTATGTCAATCAGCTCATCTGGAGTGGCTTAGAGCAAATTGACATTAGAATTTTATACAAATACCTCATCACATCTCTCTTCCCAAGGCACATTGAACCTGAGTTGGCTGGTAGGGATTCTCCAGTGAGGGCAGAAATGCAGGGAAATCTTCAACACTATGGAAGATTTCTTACTGGACATTTGAATCTCAATGATCCCAAGCAAAATGAAGATTCCACACAATTTTTGTCAGTACAGATGACACATATGAACAGCCCCATTTAACTGTGTATAAGACCATGAGCACAGCTGTGTGCTTCATGACTGACGGCCACACACAGCCTACACCAAAGACTGGACAGCATTGGTGGGCCTCAACTCACAGTGCAGGCACCTGACATTTGTGAGCAATTCAACATCAACAAAAGAATATCTGGGTCTGAAAAAGAACACCAATTTTAAATTTATTTACTTCAATTCACTGGTTCCCATTAAATTTCTGATTTTCAATTCACAATCATGGCTGATGAGAGAAGAAAATTGTGGTAAGTTGATTAATGATACCCAAATATGGTGGTGGTGGTCCAGGCCCTAATCTCTGGAATCTATGAATGTTATTTTACATGGAACAGAAATTTTGCAGATGTTAACCTAGTGGTTATGAGTTGGACTGCTAACCTCAAGGTCAGCATTTCAAAACCAGTTGTCTCATGGGGGAAAGATGAGGCTTTCTGTACCCTTAAAGATTTACAGCCTCAGAAACCCTATACAGGATCACTATGAGTCGAAACCAACTCCATAGCACATAACCACCACCGCCAATTATGTGAAGTATCCTTAGATGCAAAAACAGTCACAGTGATTCATCAACAAGCAGCTGCAAGGAATTCAAGCCAGATTCAGACGAGGTCATGAGATAAGATACATCATTGCTAACATCAGATGAATCTTGGCTGAAAAAAAAAAAATACCATAAGATGCTTACTTGTGTTTTATTGACTGTGCAAATGCATTCAACTGTTTGAATCATAACAAACTATGAATAGTATTGCAAAGAATGGAAATTCCAGAACACTTAATGTGTTCATGTGAAACTTGTACATAGACCAACAGGCAGTCATTCGAACAAAACAAGGGAAAACTGCATGGTTTAAAATCAGGGGAGGTGTGTGTCAGGATTGTATCCTTTCACCATATTTATTCAACCTGTACTGAACAAATAAATAGAAAACTGGACTGCATGAAGAAGAATGTGGCATCAGGATTGGAGGAAGGCTCACTAACAATCTGTGATATGCAGATGAAACAACCTTGTTTATTGAAAGCAAAGACACTTGAAGCACATACTGATGATGATCAAAGACTACATAGTCTTCAGGATGGATTACACCTCGATGAAAAGATGAAAAGAAACCTGAATTCCTCACAATTGGGCCAATAAATAACACAATGGCTAATGGAGAAAAGATTGAAGTTGTAAAGGATTTAATTTACCTTATGAAAGCAGCAGTCAAGAATTCAAACAGCATATTGCATTGAGAAAATCTTCTACAAAAGACATCTTTAAAATGTTAAAAAGCAAAGATACCACTTTGAGAACTAGGGTGCATGTGATCTATACCACAGTATTTTCCATTGTACACAAAAAACTAGACAGTGAATAAGGAAGAATGAAGAAGAGTATGCGCCTTAGAATTATGGTGTTGGCAAAGAATATTGCAGATTGCCAGAGTAGTGAACAAATCTCTCTCTCTGTCTCTTTTTTTTTTTTTGATATTTTTATTGTGAATTGAGTAAAAGTTTACAGAGCAGATCAATTTTACATTCAACATACACCTTGTTTCATTACAATGATTATAATCCCCTCCATGTACCATCAGTTAACAGTATTTCTCTCTATTCATTTTAGCTCTTTTTAAAAAAAAAAACAAAACAAAAAAACACTCAGACATACAATAATTTATACCACCAAAGAGCGCATTCTGAAAGTCTGCCCCCTGGCTGCCAGCTCTCAGTCCCTCTCTTTCCATGAATCTAGAGTCCTCAGCTGCTCCCTCTCTCCATCCCCATCTTTGCCTCCATCTCTGGTGCCGCTGCTTCTCTGGATAAGTTCCCACATTCTGCTTGTGCTCTTCTCCCTTGATGGTCCTTGGGTCCTCTGTTTCTGGACTGTAATATTAACTATCCCCCATTTTTGTTACAAAACTTCTACATTTACAATTGTGATAGTCGCAATTAGTCATGATAACAATTACTCGCTATTGAATCATAAGAATCTTATCCACATCTTTTTAACCAGCCCCATAGACAAGATGAAAGCTTGTCCCTCACACGCTCTTAAACTAAACTCCTTCTTGAAACTTTGTAAGCCAGTCACTTCATGCCTTGATCGCCTCCTCATTTTAGGTAGCCAATGTCTAAGTTGCCCATCCCTACTATCTACCCTGTGTACAGAGGGGATAACATTGATACTTGATGTGAAGACTCCTTCCCTCTCTGTTGGTATTTAGAGATACTACCTCCATGAGTATAGGTCAAGTTCATCAAATTGTAGCAATTTACATCATTTCCTTTATCAAAAATTTTTGTTGTTGTTGTTGTTTTTATTCTTCCTCTAGTCAAATTCTGATCATCAAGGCATCAAGGCTAGGTCAAATCGGTACTATCTGCAAGTCTGGGAATTCTTGTGCATCTCCCCTCACCTTATATCAGCTGGATGCTTCACTCTCAACTCTAGCCCTTTGTGGCTACATCCTTGTCCATGGGCCCAGGTGTTCCCAGGTCTCACCACTTTTTGGACCAACCAACTCTTCCTCTTCTCGCTCTCATCTCCAGGTCAACAGAAGTCTATAGAACGTAGTTGAACTCAGCCCATTTCTTCATTGCTGCCTTGGCCCTTTTCCACTCACCAGTAGACCAATGTGGTCGTCAGCAAGCTTACATGCATGCTCATGTGTTCCCTTTGAGTTACAGTCTTAGAGGGAGCTTTGTCCTGAAGTAATTTGATTGCTTGTCTTGATGGCTTCCTGATGAAGAACTTGCTTATTCTTAGTAAGGTCTCACATTCCGCTTGTTCTCTTCTCCCATGATGGGCCTAGGATCCTCTGGTTCTGGATTGTAATATTAACTATCCCCCATTTTTGTTACAAAACTTCTACCTTTACAATTGTGGTAGTCACAATTAGTCATGATAACAATTACTCACTACTCAGTAGCCAGTCATACTGGCATTTTTGTTTTGGAGTCCTAGTGTGGTGCTGTGCCAGACTGCAAAGCCATTTGAACCGCAAGGTTGGCAGTTCAAACTCACCAGCTGCTCCTTGGAAACCCTATACAGTGTCGCTATGGGTCAGAATTGACTCGACAGCACTTAACAACAACAATGGCTGATGATCATAAACATTTCTTCCTATGTTTGTTGGCTGCCCAAATCTCTTCTTTGGTAGTGTCTGTTCATGTCCTGTGTCCATTTTTAAATTGGGTTATTTTTCTTTTTCTTGTAGAGGTAGTATTTTTTCTTTTTCTTATAGTTTCCTATAGATTTTAGAAATTAGTCCCTTAGCTGATATGTCATTGCAAAAAATTGTTTTTTCCCATTCTGTGGGCTTCCTTTTTACTCTTTTGGTGAAATCCTTTGATGCACATACATTTCTAATTTTTAGAATGTCCCAATCTTCTATTTTGTCTTCTTTTGTTTGTGTCATTTTCACAATGTTTTGTAGTCTTTGCACCCTGGATTGTTGTTGTTGTCAGGTGCCATTGAATCGGAACTGACTCATAGCAACCCCATGCACAGCAGAATAAAACAATGTTCGATCCTGGGCCAACCTCACTACTGCCACCACACTTGACACCATCAATGATGTCACCTGGCTGATCCATCTCGTTGGGGGTCTTCCTCTTTTTCTCTGACCCTCCACCTTACCCAGCATGACATCCTTCTCCAGCGACTGTTCTCTCCGGACAATGTGTCCAAAGTATGAGAGACGAAGCCTAGCCATCTTGGCCTTCAACAAGCACTCTGGTTGCACTTTTTCCAAAACAGATCTATTGGTTCCTATGGCAGTCCATGGCACTTTCAGTATTCTCCTCCAACACCACAACTCAAAATCATCAATTCTTCTACGATCTTCCTTATTCACTGTCCAGCTTTCGCATCCATATGAGGTTATTGAAAATACCATGGCTTGGGTCAGGCGTACCTTGTCACTATTTTTTCGTTGATGACCTTTATAATTCTGGGTTTCACATTTGGTCTTTGTATATGGTGTGAGGTAAAGGTCATGTTTCGATCTTTTGCATATCGATTTTCAGTTCTGCCAGCATCATCTGTTGAAGAGACTATGTCTTCCCCACTCAGTGTGTCATTTCAAAAGATGTTTGCCCATTCTGCAGGCTCCTTTTAATTCTTTTGGGGGAGGGCATTAAAAACGTTTATTGCTAATTACAAAACAGCGCAGATATACAAACAAACAGAGGGGGTAAAGTCTTAGGCACATCATCTGATCATTTCATCCAATATTCACAACTTGACCAGGTTCACAGAACACTGTCCATTTTACACATGGGGAAACTGAGGCAGTGAGAGGCAACACTAGGTGCTACAGATACACCAGGGCCAGACTACGCAGTCAGAAGGGGTCCATGGAGCTCCCCCACCCTGCCCCCTCTGAGTCGGTCTGAGTCAGTTTCGTTGTGGCCCACAGCAGGGATTGTCACACTGTTTTAGCTGAATGCCCTCTTCAGGGAAGCGCCTGTGTCAGGAGGATCCAGACAGCTCTGCTGGAGGAAGGGGATGCGGGGGAGCTGGAGCTGCCCTCTGGGTTCCTCAGAGGAGTCCCCCAGGCAGGGCATCAGGAAACCCAGCAAATTGGCCAGCCCAGGCACACCCAGTCCTGACTCGGGCTCCACAACTGCAAAGAGCTTCTTGCCACCTGGGCTCTGAGTGGTGGGCCTCACAGGTCCTTCAGGAAGGGGCTCTCGGAGCTCTGCAAGGGCAGCAGGCTCAGGGTCGAGACGCCAGGCGTGTGGCCAGCACAGATCTGAAGCATCCTTACCAGGGGCTGCGCCATGGCCACTAGAAAGCCTTCCGTCTTCAGGTCTGTGAAGAGCAGGGGGCTTTGGTAGGTGCGGGCCAGCTTCAGGATGGTCTGGTGGTGGACACTGCAGTGATTCTCCTGTCCAGCGCCTATGGCCAGGAAGCACACCCTCCCCAGGAAGAAGCTGGTGTCTACCTGGCGTAGGGACTCCTGGACGTTCTGTAGGCTGTGCTTGCTGTGGAGACTCACCGCGAACACAATCAGGTCAATTCGGGGCCGAGTCACGTTGGAGGGCAGAGGGAGGGACTTTGCCAAGTGGACCAGCAGTTGGGAGGCGCAATCCTCCCGGAGCATTTTGTCCACCAGTTGCTGCAGAAGAGCTTCCTCAGTGCTCACCAGCAAGATGGTGGGCGTGTTCAGCTGAGGCAGCTTGTCCAGCGGCCTAAACACCTACAACCTAGCCGCAGATGGAACTGCGGCTCGGCTCTGGAGGAGCGCGCACGGCTTTCAAAGGGTTCGGTTCAGAGGCCTTGCCCTAGGGCGGGGCCGAGGGCGCTCCTTTTTATTCTTATGGTGAGGTCTTTTGATGCACATAAGTTTTTAATTTTTAGTATTTCCCAATCATCTATTTTGTCTTCGTTTGTTTGTGCAATTTTCACAATGTTTGGTAGTCTGTGTGTGCACTGGATTAGAGCCCTTAAATTTGTTCCTATTTTTTTCATTAATGACCTTTATAATTCTGGGATTCACATTTAGGTCTTTAATCCATGCTGCGTTTTTGTATATGGCATGAGATAAAGATCTTGTTTCAATCTTTTGCATATAGATTTCCAATTCTGCTAGCACCATCTGTTGAAGAGACTGTGTCTTCCCCACACAATGTACTTAGGCCCTTTGTCAAAGATCAGTTGGCTGTATGTGGATGAGTTAATTTCTGTATTCTCAATTCTGTCCCATTGATTGATGTGTCTTTCATCATAACAGACTGTTTTGACCCCTGTAGCCATGTAGTAAATTTCAAATTAAGGAATGAGAGGCCTCCAACTTTGTTCTTATTCTTAAACAGTGCTTTGCTTATCCCGGGTCTCTCCTTTCCATACAAAATTTGTAATTATTTTCCATCTCTCTAATGAATGTCATTAGAATCTAGATTGGGATTATGTTAGATATATAAATTGCTCTGGGTAGTATTGATTTTTTCACAATGTTAAGTGTGCCTATCCAGGAACATGGTATATTCTTCCATTTTTGTAAGTCTCTTTTGGTTTCTTGTAGTAGTGTTTTGTAGTTTTCTTTGTATTGGGCCTTTATTTCTCTGGTTGCATTTATTCCCAAATATTCCATCCTTTGAGTGGCTTTTGTAAGTGATTTTGCTTTCCTAATTTCCTTTTCAGCATTGTCATTATTAATATAGAGGAATCCAACTCATTTTTGTATGTTGATCTTGTACCTTGCCACTTTGTTGAATCTTCCTATGAATTCCAGAAGGTTTTTGCTGAATCTTTGGATTTTTCTATGTATAGGATCATATCATCTGCAATTAGAGAATTTTATTTCCTCTTTGCCATTTTGGATGCCTTTAATTTTCATATCTTGCCTTATAGCTCTGGCTAAGACTTCCAGCACAATTATTGACTAGGAATGGTAATAAAGGGCATCCTTGTCTTGTACCTGTTCACAAGGGGAAGGCTTTCAGTTTCTCTCCATTGAGAGTGATGTTGGATGTTTGTTTTGTATATATGCTCTTAATTATGTTGTAGAAATTCCCTTCAATTCCTATTTTTGTTGAGTGTTTTTATCAGGAATGCTTGTTGGATTTTGTCAAATGCCTTTTCTGCATCAATTGATATGATTATGTGGTTCCTTTCCTTTTATTTATATGGTGGATTATTGATTGTTTTTCTAATATTGAATCATCCTTACATCCTTGGTGTGAATCCCACTTGATCATGACGTATTATTTTTTTGCTGTGTTGTTGAATTCTGTTGGCTAGGATTTTATTGAGAATTTTTGCATCTATGTTCATGAGGGATTGGTCTATAATTTTCTTTCTTAGTGATATCCTTCCCTGGTTTTGGTATGAGGGCTATGCTTGCTTTATAGAATGTATTTGGGAGTTTTCCATCCTTTTCTATATTCTGGAATAATTTGAGTAAAACTGGTGACTGCTCTTCAGTGAATGTTTGGTGAAACTCAACAGTGAAGCCATCTGGACCTGGACTTTTTTTTGGTTGGGAGCTTTTTTATTACCTGGTCAATATCTTCCTTTGTTATAGGTCTGTTTCACTGTCTGAAAGCCTTCAAACTTTCTAAATATTCCTTTATACGTGGTTCAGAATTCTGGGACCATCACCTCCCAAATGTGTCTTTGAAGCTGTAAACCAGTATGGTCCTTGGAAGCATCAATAGTAAGACTTCATTTCATGTATAATTTTATCAGGAAGGAGTAATCCCTGGAGAAGGACATCATGATTGGTAAAGTAGAAGGTCAGCAAAAAGGAGGGAGATCTTTAATGAGCTGGATTCTCACAGTGGCTACGACACTGATCTCAAACAGCAAGATTGTGAGGATGGTACAGGATTAGACAGGCAGACTCGATAGCACCTAACAACAACAATCTTTGAATGGGAACATTTTCTTGGGTAATCCTGGTGGGCCACAAATACCTGTTTAATAGGGAAGCAATGGGAGTGATTACAGAAGAAAGTAATATGACAACAGAAACAAGATGCTTTTCTATTGGCTTTAAGCATGGAAGAAGAGATCAAGAGCAAGGAACGGAACGAATTAGCTCTAGAAACTGAAAAAATCAAGGAAACAAATTTATCTCTATAGAACTCTGAAAGAAGACTGGCCCAGCTAAATTTTGGACTTCTGACAGCCAAACTTCTAAGAGAAGAGATGGATGTTGTTTTAAGCCTCTGAGTTTGGTACTAGTTATAGCAGACATAAGAAATAAATACAATAACCATTACTTATAGCTCCACCTAAGGTGGGCTCCAGAGAAGGGATTGCCTGTAGAGAAAGGAGTTCCATATTGGCCTTTGTATCAGTTCCCAAGGATGTGTGGCCTCAGTTAAAAACCAGAGGCAAATTCTGAGGCACCCACAGCTGTAATCTATTGTCAGCTGTTCTCCTGTGGCAATTTATTTCCTGAAGGGAGTTCTGGGCAGGGCTCCTGGATGGCTGCCACAAATCTAACTAAGCATATGGTGTTCAGCCGATGCTGTTAAAAATGTGCCTTCTGCTTCCGTAGTGTCTCACGGTGTCTGATTTATTGTCAGGAGAGTCCCACATAATATTGCCTCCCAATAAATGATCAAATTTATTTTAAAAAGGTGCAACAATAGGAGATGACCAAGGGTTCCAATCAGTGTGTTGAAGCAGGTCATACTGTCTCAGGAGAGCTGGTGTTTTAAAATGTTGTTAAATATTCAGGAACCTTGCAAGACAATTGCTAAACATTTTGTACCTTGAAATTGGCCATAATGAAAGTATTTACATCCTAAGTTTTAAAACTCTACAAATCAGAGCTTTTTGCTATCTGCCCTATATCTCCATACCCCCATTACAAGTCAGTTTCACCAACACATCACTGAATGGAGTAGTGGTATGGCACTGTGGGCTAATGCATCACAGAACTGACTCCATGGCACATAATCACCACCACCAACAGCATCATGAGTGATATAGTTGCTGGTGTATAATGAAAGACAGGAAGAAATTGTCTGGAAGTTAAAAGATTTACTTGGGCAATTCTTGGTGATTCCTTGTTTGTTGAAAACTGCAAAAGGGTAATTTAAGAAACATGGTTTGATAAAAGTATGGATGTTCAGATTCCTCATCCATGAAGGTCCAGGTTACTACACCCAGGTTGTTGTTGTTAAGTGCCGTTGAGTCGATTCCGACCCATAGCGACCCTGTATAGGGTTTCCAAGGAGCAGCTGGTGAGCTTGATCCACCGACCTTGCAGTTCAAATGGCTTTGCAGTCTGGCGCATTAACCCACAGCACCGCACCAGGACTGGGGAAGCAGCCCGTTTTAGTTGTGGTGGTTGTTAAGTGTCATCAAGTTGGTTCCAACTCATAATGACCCTGTATAGAGGTCATTTACAAGGAGCAGCTGGTAGGTTTATATCACCAACCTTGTGGTTAGCAGTCCAGTGCTTACTCTATGTTGACAGGGGGTGAGGGGATCTAGAAGTGATGATCAAGAAGTGAGGTGATGAATACCAAGACCCAACCTCAGAACCAACTGCAACCTTTCCCATGGAATTTCTCGTTGTTTGCACTTATTATTCAGTTAAACACTGTGACTGGCCACATCTTGAAGAGCAATTTTTATAAAGATGAACTTGATGTGGGTCACAACTGAATCTGAAGTGGTCAAGGGATGGGCCAGAGCAGATACCCCTCCCTCTCTGGCAGCATCTCCTAAGTGATCCAACTGACCTCAATGCCAAGATCTGTGTCTTCTTGCTCAAAGTCTTTCTTCAAAGACAAATGAAGCTACTCTGATTGCCTGTAGAACAGCGTGGAAGCACAGAAAATGAATAGCTCCCAGGAATAGCAATCTGCTTCAGTGGGATAACCCCAAGGTGTGTTCTGAATCATTCCCCAGAAATTTCTGACAGGATTAAACTAGACCTGTCAACTGTCATAGATCTGCCTTGGTAGTGACCTCTTTTTAGCCATTATTGTTCCCTGTCTGACTTTTCCCCTCCCCTATTATTGTTTCATGGATCTCCAAGATAATCTTAATCCTTATATCAGAGTCTACTTCTGGGGGAACCCAAGCTAAGAAAATGGTACAGTGACTATAGGAAAAAGGAGGCAGATTCCAAAACTACAGGGGGCTTCAACATTTTTGTGGAAAATAGGATTAAAAGATAATGGAATCTTTCCAAGATTCATGAAGACGCCTCGTGTTTTGAAGATAGGCTCAGTTAACACTTGATGATTTGAATGTGGCATCTAAAAAAAGAGGGATCAAGTGTGATGCCTAGATTTCTGACTTAAGAAATGACATAGAAAGTGGTGCCATTTACTGAGATGAGGGTAACTAGAGGTACAGAAAATTGAAAATTTCATCTTGCTCTTGACATTACATTTGAGATATACATAAGACAACAAAGAAGATGCATCAAGGAAGTCTGAGATACGAGTGTAACTGGGGTAAATGGTGCAGTAAGAGAATGCTTATTGGCCCTGCAGGAGAGCCAAGTTCAATTCCTACTCAGTGCTTCTTGTGCACACCAGCCAGCTCTGATGTTAAACAGATTTCAGAGGATAGTCCAGGAAGACAGACTAGCAAGAAAGTCCTGGTGATCTACTTCTGAAAAATCAGGCAATGAAAACCCTATGGTTCACAATAGTTTGATCCCGTTGTGTGTGAGGTGGTTTTAAATTGACAACATCTAGAAACAACAACAGAGATATATAATGTTGG